ACATCTATGTGTTTGTAACATTTCTTTAGTGAGGTGGATATATTTGATTTGAGTTTATTTGACTAGAATATTTGTTCAACTGCTCTATTGAAGGTGGGTTCGAGTATGGGTATGGTAGACTCATGGATATTTGAAGTCATACTTTTGTCGTAAAGCTCCTTGGTGGCCATGAAAGTAAATTTTTTACCTCCTTTAATTTTCTATCGGTATTTTTCATTTTCGTCGAACCGACCAAATCTATGTACTCTCTCCTACAACGAGAGTTGTCTTAGATGTATCTTTATTGTCTTGAGTTTTGGTATATTTTACACCCACATTTAAAATCATAACTGGGAATCATAAGCTATTTTACCTATAAGTTATTTGATAAAACCTCACTTGGTATGTTGTCCCTCTCAACCCCGCCTGCTAACTATTTGATAAAATGCCTTTGAGCTTTTCAGTATGATTATTTGATCTAATTCATTATTATTTTTCCACAAACACAATTATGGAAGCTAAATACTAAGTGTTGCATTTTCTCTATACATATTTAGACCATGAAGATAACTAAGTACATATTTAACCGTGCTCTTTAGAGAAGTGATGTTGATAATGGTAATGGATCTCAAAATAATTGAACTAGACATTTATGAGCTCATAACTGAGTTTGCTCAAGTAACAAGTCAAAATAAATAATAATCTTGGTATTTTTTTGTCAATGGTACGAGTTAAAATTTTGTGACTATTTTTATTGGTTGATGTAGTGGTAAAGATCTTATGCAAGGTTTTTTATGCTGCCACAGGTGTTAAGAATGATGGGTTGGTGTCAAAACTTTGCAAGATAGAAAATCTTTGTTGGCAATGTAGTTTTGCCTCCTCCAAGTTCTTGCATTTTTGAGTAGTTATCTGTATGCATATGTCGATGCTTTTATTTATTTTCATTCTTGAAGATGTATTTGATATTTATGCAATTAATGTTGTCTTAGAATGGTGGATTCTTGGCCGAGTTTTTTTTATTTAGTTATTTTTTTGATGCGGTTATTGGGTTGATTATTTCAATTTGGTGTTGCTTTTGAGCATGAACTGGCATTGGAACTTATAGTTGAATCTGTCTTATCACCGTTAGGTGGCCATGGTTTTTATATTAGTTAAATGTTTGGTGTCATGAGCGGACTGGCACGGCTTCAATATTGTTGATGGTTTTAGTTACGGAGAAAGAGCGTTCAAGAATTAGTTGAAGGTGAAGGGGATATGGTGTTTATGGTTTGAAATTTTAAGGGTTAGTAATCTAGCAGATTGACAGAAAAGTAGAGCGAGTCAAGTTGGATTGAATTTTTGCTTCCAAATAATTATTTTTCATATTTGATGAGATGTTTGATGTATAAGTGTTTTAATTCCTTCTTTCTTTTATGTTAGGAAGAATTATATTCAGATTTTTTTAAGTTTGTCACTTAATTACTCAGACTCCTTGACATTTGAAATCTTACGCACAGATTCTCTGAGGTTTGTACGTGCGTAATACTGAAATCCCTGTTGTAAATATATCTGTTAATAAATTTCACTTAAACTCCCTTGAAGTTTGTATGCATATAATATTTCGATCTTTTAAATTTAAAATGTTATGTTTAGATCAAAAATTTTTCAATCAAAGATAAAATATTAAATAATTTAAATTTTACAATAAAAATTCATTTTCTATTGTATCATTTATTGAAATAAAATTTATTCTTTCTTAAAAAATTGTAATTAGTATATAATTATACTATCTATTAAAATTAAACGAAAAAATCAAATAAATGGTCTAAGTCATTCATAATAGAATATGAATTTTACAACTAAAATTTATATTCTATTATGTCATTTATTTAAATAAAATCAAAAAAAAATCTAATTTTAAAAAAAAAATCATTGTTAATATATAATTATACTATCTATTAGAATAAAACTAAAAATAAATAAATAAGGGGTCAAATTGTAATGAACATAATATTTTTTAGCTTCAATTTGGATAGTTTGATATTTTAATTTGGTCGTTTAAACGATCAAATTAAATTTTAATAGACAATATAATTATATATTAATTACGATTTTTTTAAAAAAAAATTGAATTTTTATTTTTGATTTTATTTCAATAAATGATATAATAAAACATAAATTTTAATTATAAAATTTTAAATATTTGATATTCTATCTTTGATTGAAGTATTTTTTATGTAAGTATAACATTTTAAACTTAAGAGGTCTAAATAATATATATTTACAAACTTTAGAGGGTCTTAATATAATTTATTAACTGATATATTTACAGTAAGAATTTATGTGTTGCGTATGTACAAACTTCAGGAGACTTGTATGTAATATTTTAAATATTAGGGAATCTAAGTGATTAAATAAAAAACTTCAAGGAGCATGAATGTAATTCTCCCTTTATGTCAATGAGCTGTTTTTTCTGGATTGTTGCGGAAGATATGGAGTTTTGGGATATTAGTACAAAGATAAAGATGCATAGAATTTTTGTACATTGATCCATGAAGCTTCCTTGGTGCCAAGTAGAGTTTTTAGATTTTTTTTGGATTGTTGTGTTTTCTTTAAATTTATATGTTTCTTAATAATAAGTAGATTTGTACCAATGATGTACACATGTTTCTATTTTTTATGTTATGTTTTTAAAGTAAATTTTGTTAATTTTTTATATTGATTGTGAGTTTAAATTAATTTAAAATGGTGTAATTTACATGATTAATGCTCAATTTTGCATTGCATAATGTCTTTAGGTATGAGCTTTGTCCTTCTAAAAAAAAAGTGGTTATCGTGATTTGATGCAATGGGCTTAAAGACACGAGTATGTGAGCACTCAATCCCCAATTGTAATTTACATTTCAAGAAAAAAAACAAATGGGTAATAAGTGGCAATCTACTCATTAGACAATGTTGAACTATTTCAATGATGCAGAAGTGCCACCACAATCTTGGAAACGCCTAAACCAGGGGACAAATGGTCGGATTTTATGGCATTCTTCCAAGTTGAATAATATTATAAACGCATCTTGATCTGTACACTAAGTTTTTATAGACAAATTGTAAAAGACTGGAGTTTGCGTACGTTCAATCCTAATTAGATATGTCAGATTTTTAAAAAAAAAAAAAAAGAATTGGGATCTATTTCTATGAGACCTTATCCAGATTAACTTGGGTTAAAGCCTACAAACTCAAGTCAAGTTAACCAGATCTCTAAGTAACACAATCAGTGGACCTAAAAAAATGAATAATAAAACATTTAAACCGAAAAATATTATAGGGATCTACAATCAATAATTTAGAATTTTCCCACACAGTGATGGATTTGGCCACTCATGATCCGTTGGTTTTGATATCTTCAACAGTACACCTGTTGTGATGGATTTACTCTGCTTGTAGTGTTTACAAGTCAAAGATGCAATTATTTTTGTATTCAACTTACAGTGTGCAAGATTGTCTTCATCGTTGAGGCTCTCATACTTTGTCATCTTGCAAAAGAACTGCACAAACTTTATGCTTCTCTAACTAGCTGCACCAATTTCTTCACCGCCAGATCTACCTCTTCATCACCTTTCTCTCTCATCCTCTCACTCAATTCCTTAACCTTCTTCCTCACTTCTCTCCCTTCTTCCTCCACTACCACTTCATTGATCACCTTTGCCACCTCCTCCCTGTTGAACCTTCCATTCTCTCTCATCACCTCCATGCCTATGCCAATCTCCACTACTAACTTGGCATTCAAGGGCTGGTCTAAATGCATAGGCATGGCTATGATTGGAACACCAAACATCACACCCTCCAGTGTTGAACTCCACCCACAGTGACTCACAAAGCCACCTATGCCAGAATGTCCTAATATCTTTGCCTGTGGGGCCCACCCTTCTAGTACCATGCCTCTCTCTCCTGCCCTTTCTTGGAAGCCTTCTGGTAAGGCTTCGTCTAATCTAATTCTCTCTCCTCCATGAAACCTTACAACCCATATGAAACTCACCTTGCTGAGCTCTAATCCATAAGCTATCTCTTCTATCTCTTCCTTTGAAAGAAAATACTCACTTCCAAAAGAGACAAACACAACTGAAGAAGCCTCTTGTTTGCTCAGCCACTCCATGATAACTGTATCTTCATCTTTGTTTGTAGGGTCCTGAAGAAGAGGCCCCACAGTAACCATCTCTTTTCCCGTCAAAACTGACAAATAATCGATATACTTTTCCTCAATTTCTCTCGATGTTTTAATCAACACGATGCTCGAAGATCTTGCCAAGCATCCTAGGTACCTTTCCTTGTTTGTGACACCATTTGAGATGTCATCCATAAACCCAATAAATTTCTGGCGCTCCATTTCAGGGAACTCGAATGCCGGAAAAGGATATTCCAAAACAGGATTCTCACAGAAATGATCGAGAAAAGCACAAGTCGACGCACTACAAGTTAAGAAAAGAACTGCATCAATGTTTTCTTCACGAGCCACTTCGGGTGCCCATGGCTGTAAGAAATCATAGATGACTAGGTTTGGTTTGAGTGTTGTTAGTATGTTACAAAAGTCAGGTTTGGCCATCTCAAAGGCGGTTTTGAGGTCGGACATGAGGTGGGGTGGGAGATCTTTGGTGGTGTGGAAGTGAGGAGGGAGTTCTGGGGAGGAAGGAAGGTGGATATCTATGAGTTGTATAGAAGGAAAGATTTGACCGGAAGGAAGGGTTTTTCTGATAGGTTTTAGATTGATGGGTGTGGAGCAAAGATATACATGGAAATTTCTCTCTGCAAGTCTCTTGGCTAGCTCTAAGAATGGTGACATGTGTCCATGAGCTAACCATGGTAGCATCAGAACACTGGGACTGTGTTGTTTGGAAGCCATGATCAATTCCTCTCTAGATCTGTGGAAGGTGAATTTGTCTATGATTTGTTTGAGATAGAGATGAAAGTTTTGATGGCAAAAGAGACGGGAAGATTAGTAAAAGCTTGGACAGGAAGTGGGAGAAAATGTGGTTTTAGGTTTTGCTGACTTAGTTTGTTTGGCTGGCTTGACTTTGAATATCCTACACANTTATGGCAAAAGAGACGGGAAGATTAGTAAAAGCTTGTACAGGAAGTGGGAGAAAATGTGGTTTAGGTTTTGCTGACTTAGTTTGTTTGGCTGGCTTGACTTTGAATATCCTACACANTCTGGGACACCATTTGAGATCTCATACATAAACCCAATAATTTTCTGGCGCTCCATTTCAGGGAACTCGAATGCCGGAAAAGGATATTCCAAAACAGGATTCTCACAGAAATGATTGAGAAAAGCACAAGTCGACGCACTACAAGTTAAGAAAAGAACTGCATCAATGTTTTCTTCACGAGCCACTTCGGGTGCCCATGGCTGTAAGAAATCATAGATGACTAGATTTGGTTTGAGTGTTGTTAGTATGTTACAAAAGTCAGGTTTGGCCATCTCAAAGGCGGTTTTGAGGTCGGACATGAGGTGGGGTGGGAGGTCTTTGGTGGTGTGGAAGTGAGGAGGGAGTTCTGGGGAGGAAGGAAGGTGGATATCTATGAGTTGTATTGAAGGAAAGATTTGACCGGAAGGAAGGGTTTTTCTGATAGGTTTTAGATTGATGGGTGTGGAGCAAAGATATACATGGAAATTTCTCTCTGCAAGTCTCTTGGCTAGCTCTAAGAATGGTGACATGTGTCCATGAGCTAACCATGGTAGCATCAGAACACTGGGACTGTGTTGTTTGGAAGCCATGATCAATTCCTCTCTAGATCTGTGGAGGTGAATTTGTCTACGATTTGTTTGAGATAGAGCTGAAAGTTTTGATGGCAAAAGAGATGGGAAGATTATTAAAAGCTTGGACAGGAAGTGGGAGAAAATGTAGTTCAGGTTTTGCCGGCTGCTTTTGTTGAAATTTTCTGAATTTGGCCAGCTTGACTTTGACTATCCTACACAAGTACAAGTACAAAACAAAAAGCTTTCGGTCTCAAGACGTAAATTATTCCAATTTAACTGTATCTTGATTAGGATCAGATCTAAATTATTTATATATTTTTGTACAAATTTGAAACAAATTAAGTAATTATTTAAAAAAAATTGATTGAAATCTAGGTAGAATTTGTTAAAATTTAGTTAATTAAATTTTTTGAATTGAACTGGATTGTATTCCGGATTATTAACGGATTTAGATATAAATCCTAGAAAAAAAAAATTTGTCAAATTATTAAATTCGGATCGAACTTTTGAAATTGAATTTGGATTCAAATTAATTAGAATTCGATTCGAACTTAATTCATTGATAGGCCTACTATCTAGTGGTTGGTTCAGTGGCAAGTCTACACATCATGCAGCTAAAAAAAAAGAAACTCAAATTTTTTTATTAATATTTGAGTTTGAGTTTTTATAGTTATGAGTCTTATAAGTTATAATAGTTTATTAGAACTAAACCAGTTATTCAATGTCCAGAGCACGTGATAGGACCTTAGTTTTNGAGAAAAGCACAAGTCGACGCACTACAAGTTAAGAAAAGAACTGCATCAATGTTTTCTTCACGAGCCACTTCGGGTGCCCATGGCTGTAAGAAATCATAGATGACTAGGTTTGGTTTGAGTGTTGTTAGTATGTTACAAAAGTCAGGTTTGGCCACGTCAAAGGCGGTTTTGAGGTCGGACATGAGGTGGGGTGGGAGATCTTTGGTGGTGTGGAAGTGAGGAGGGAGTTCTGGGGAGGAAGGAAGGTGGATATCTATGAGTTGTATAGAAGGAAAGATTTGACCGGAAGGAAGGGTTTTTCTGATAGGTTTTAGATTGATGGGTGTGGAGCAAAGATATACATGGAAATTTCTCTCTGCAAGTCTCTTGGCTAGCTCTAAGAATGGTGACATGTGTCCATGAGCTAACCATGGTAGCATCAGAACACTGGGACTGTGTTGTTTGGAAGCCATGATCAATTCCTCTCTAGATCTGTGGAAGGTGAATTTGTCTATGATTTGTTTGAGATAGAGATGAAAGTTTTGATGGCAAAAGAGACGGGAAGATTAGTAAAAGCTTGGACAGGAAGTGGGAGAAAATGTGGTTTTAGGTTTTGCTGACTTAGTTTGTTTGGCTGGCTTGACTTTGAATATCCTACACAAGTGCAAAACAATAAGCTTTCGGTCTCGAGACGTAAATTATTCAAATTTAAATATATTGGATGTGATTATGATTCGATTTAAATTATTTATATATTTTTGTATAAATTTGAAACAAATTAAATAATTATTTTAAAAAAATTAGATGAAATCTAGGCAAAATTTTTTAAAATTTAATTAATTAAATTATTCGGATTAAACCGAATTGTATTTCGGATTATTAACGGATTCAGATATGAACTACACATAAAAAAAAAAAAAAAAAAAAAAAACTTTGACGGATCATCAGAATTGGGTTGGACTTTTGAAATCAAATTTGGTTTCAAATCAATTAGAATTCGATTCAAACTCAATTCGCCGACAAACCTACTATCTAGTGGATGGTTAAGTGACAAGTCTGCACATCATGTAGCTAAAAATAAACTCAAACTTTTTTATTAATATTTGAGTTTGAATTTTTACAGGTGCGGGTCTAATAAGTTATAATAGTTTGGTGGAACTAAACTAAGTATCCAATGTCTAGAATATGTGACAGCACCTTAGTTTTGATTAGACATAAATACGATAAATCTCCCATATATAATTATGTAATTCTAATAATAGATATGTAAAGTAACTTATCCGCACATTAAAAAACTTCTGTAGCTCTAATTCTTGGGTTAAAAAACTTTAGACTAATGTATTTTAAAAACAGTTGGGTGGGGGCCATAATTAAATTGGCTTAAAAGGATAGGTTCCTTTAAAATTGTCTACTTCTTTTACGAAGAAGATCTGTAAAAATAAAGAGTTTAAAAAAATTCATTTTATTGTAAATTTACAAATTTAATGTACTTCTTGAGTATGAGAAAATTTATTGACATAAATAAATCTTATCCTTCCAAAAATAATTAGAAAATTCTCCACCTAGAGAAATTAGAGAAAAGCCAAACCTCAATTTAAATAGGGATGGGCTATTTTCACCCACAAAACTTTCTTCCTCACCTTATGTTTTAACTCTTATCTCATTAAAAAACCTTGTTTGGATTATATTTGGATAGTCAATTAATTGATAATTTAAATACAAAAAAAAGATTATTTATGTGATCAAATTTTCAAAAAATGATGGGTATCCTAAACTCATGGGCAATAATTGTAATTTCATTCTGATATTCTAACAAATGAATGAAATACCAAAATTAAGCTCATTTCCAAAATTCAATTTAAGTTACAACCAAAGTCCCTTCCAAAAATCAAGTCCTTACCAAAATTAAATTCATTACTAAAAACAATTATAAAATATTAAGTAATTCCCATATCTGATTATTGGCAATGACCAAACACTAAATAAAAGATTATCATGATAACTAGAATTTGGGTATTTCATTACTAGGAATAAGATATCCATTAACAAGGCCTTAATGTGTATGAACTAACTTACGCACATCTCGATTAATCTCATTTATAATCCGATAAAAAACAAATCATACACACCAAAACTAGAATATTCATTAATATTTAAACTCAAGACGTCTAGATTTATAACTCGTTTTTATTACCACTTAAATTATTTTTAAAATTCCATACTCCAATACCAAACTTCTCTTTACCCTTACTGTAGACAAGCCCTTCACTTAAATTGGATTGAGATGGTTTATCCAAGTACAATCTAGATTCTTAAACCTATGTCCAAATATTAGATATGGGAAAATATTTTATATTTATAAGGGTACCAGTTAATACTATCAGATGGTATACATCATACACAAAATAAATAATATGCATTCACATACAAAATATTGTACATTGTTAACAAAAAAAGTACATATAATATATTAAACATTTCCCTGTGTCGGATAAAATGTGTAGTGTGACAATTTTTCATTGGTTCTAAATACCACATAGTATTGTNTCAAAAAAAGTACATATAATATATTAAACATTTCCCTGTGTCTGATAAAATGTGTAGTGTGACAATTTTTCATTGGTTCTAAATACCACATAGTATTGTCACGTGATGCCTTGCAAACACCGAATATTTTCTCATTAGATAGGTTTACTGTTTCACACGCGCGCGCGCACAGAGAGACTGAGAGAGAGAGAGAGAGAGAGAGAGAGAGAGAAATATATCCCCTTATCAAGGTTCCAAGATCCAAGCCTGTATCTCTTCAAATTATCCTTCAGACCAACCCAAAAAAAAACTCTTAACAAAAACCCTCAAAAGGAACCAAACAAGTAAGTAATTGAAGAGAAAAACATAAACAAAGATTACCTATGACGGTATTCGGCATTTTGGTCTGAAACATCACACTAACATGACAAAAATTATGCTCACACTAATTGCATACCCATAATCCAAGACTCAGCTAAATTAACATGCCACATTATTTCTACATTTTCAGCACCCTCAGCCAAGAACTCCTTTCTCAGTCTTCATCCTCTCCCTACAAGCTTTCCAAAATGAATCTTGTCAAAACCGGCTTGCAAGATATTTAGGTGGTTGTAAATCNATTCATAATCCAAGACTCAGCTAAATTAACATGCCACATTATTTCTACATTTTCAGCACCCTCGGCCAAGAACTCCTTTCTCAGTCTTCATCCTCTCCCTACAAGCTTTCCAAAATGAATCTTGTCAAAACCGGCTTGCAAGATATTTAGGTGGTTGTAAATCAAATTTCCACTTACCGAACAGCATAGATATGGCTGGAGAGTGGTCATACATAAGGTACTCCGATAAACCAGAAAAGGCCCAATTCTAGCTGTCTTGAAATATCGGAACAGAGAATCATCCATTGCACGGACTTCCCGAAATTATCTCACAATATGTTGGTCAGTACTGAAAAGCTTGTCGTGCTTCGTTGAGGTTGGAGCTTTTGATCAAAAACCTTGTGTTGATAGGGATAGGAAATGAACCACTGAACTCATATATGATGAGCAAATAGACCACAGCCACCAAAGAAGAGAAAATATTATGGCCTCAATTTTGCTCTGACCTTTCTTGCGAGGGGCGAACACTGGTATGGCGACTGGCCAATTCAGAGGAGTGACCAGCAATTATCCTAGCCCCTTAAAGTTAACATCCAAAGCACATCATCAGTAATTGTCACTACTCCGAGAACTCACTGATGTTGCAGCCTAAATGCATGGAACATGAATGTAACTCAGGGCACAAGGAGGCTAATTACCTGAAGAAGATTTTGTGTGAAAGGGCCACTAGGAACCGACAAAAAAATAGTGCAGTAGATTTTATCCGGGTCCTGCTTCACCAATGTAGATATAATATTTAATTGAATCACTACAACGGATAAATGTGCCCAGAAAAATAGATCAAGAATATTTCTTGAAAGAAGACAATAGTGTCATGACAGTTATTGGAGAGAGATAGAGAGAGAAGATCAATGCAACAAGTAAAAAGCAACTTTGAATCATCACCGCACGGTTATACATTGATCTACAATTGAAGAAATCAGCTGCAACGACCATCAAAGTGCAGCAATAGCAAGCTACTTATAGAAGACTCCTTCCAAATGACAGATATATCAAACTCTCTTCAAAGACTTAAGCTAGTAGACAAACAGATCTAAAAATTATCGTAAGTAGGATTATTGGTTCTTCAATGCCTATTCTTTGTGCTACAAATTTGAATA